TGAGTATGAGTACATGGATAATGACAACGGCACGACACGTGTTGTCGGTGGTGCAGATGCCAAGCTAGGAGCCTGGCCCTGGATCGTCAGCCTTAAGCATCCTGCAATACCAGGCACAAGACACCTGTGTGGAGGGTCCCTCATCACTGCAGAGTGGGTCCTCACAGCAGCCCACTGCTTTGACCCCATCAGGTAAAGTCATGCCGGATATGGGGACATCCCCACAACTCCAGCAGGTGCCCTGTCAGCAGCATCACCTGCTGCTCTCATCCCCTTTCCTTTCAGGTGGCCAGGATGCCACAGTGCTCAGGAGAAGCCTGGGCTCATGCCAAGACTTCCTAGTAGCCTCCAGCTTGACATTCCCCCAGCCTAAGTTGTGCGAGGGCACTCACACCTGCCAGAGCACTGCCCCATCTCTGCCTTGCAAGCAGAGGCCTCACAACTGCTGGGCTGCTGTGGCACTGTGGCTCTGCTCCCTCTCAGACCTCTCTCCATCTACTTTCCAGGAAAATTGGCATGGTTTATCTAGTGATTGGGGCCACCCAATTGACTAAGCCAGGACATGGAGCACAACTGCGACGGATTAAGAAGTTAGTGCGTCATGAGCACTATAATCCAAGTGACAAAAGTAACGACATTGCTTTGCTGCAGCTGAGCAAGCCTGTTGACTGCAACCCCTATGTCCAGCTGGCCTGTGTGGCTGACCCTGCCCTAAGCCTGTCAGAGCTGCAGAACTGCTGGGTGGCTGGCTGGGGTGCCACTGCTGCAAGATGTGAGTTCCAAGAGCAACTTCTGGGCCAGCTCAGCACACTGGGGAGAGAGTTTGGGCTTCCCCTCATAGCAGAGGCCAAAGCCAGGCTCTACACCTCTGCAGAGACAGGCCTGGTCTGTTCCCCAAAAGCAGGGACACAGTGCCCCAGTGCCTCTGCAGAGGCAAAGCCAAACCTTAGGAAAAGGGATCCCCCTAAAGCAGTGGAGCAGAATGGGTAACGAGCTACAGGGGGATCATTCCTTTCTCTGCTTACAGCTCAAACCTCAAGTGATATCCTCCAGGAGGCCAAGGTCCAGCTCATCGATGTCCAGCTCTGCAACAGCAGTGGCTGGTATGCAGGGGTAGTCCACACCCACAACTTGTGTGCTGGATACCCACAGGGCAAGATCGACACCTGCCAGGTAGGAGTGTGCCATGAGCCAACACAGCCCAGGGCCTGCTTTGCCTCTCCACTCAGTCACCCTCCCAGCCCCAGTTGCCCCACGGACTGCTGTGGGGGCTTCCCACATCCACCTGCCTGCCCAGGGCTCCCATTTGCCAGAAAGTCCAGAAAGCCCAGCTAAAGTGCTCCTGGTAGCCCAGAGGTCCAGTTGCTTAATGTCCATCCTCTGCACATCCAGAAGCTCTGTGCAGAGAGGACAAAGAGAGCCCTACCCTACAAGACGCCAAGCTATTCACAGATTTCTGGAGGCTCAAGTGCCTGGGTGCAGCTCTGGCAAAGGCTGTGGGAGGGAAGGAGACAGCCCCAGTGCTGGCAGGGGCCACCTAAAACCAGCTGAGAATACTCTCTACTCTGCTGTAGGGTGACAGTGGTGGTCCTCTCATGTGCCAAGATGAAAACAGTGACTTCTTCTGGATTGTTGGAGTGACCAGCTGGGGAAGAGGCTGTGCCAGAGCAAAGCGACCTGGAATCTACACATCCACTCTTTACTTCTATGACTGGATTCTGGCCCACATCAGCCCAGAGATAATTGAAAATGCTTCTTGAGCACCAGGATGGGCATCATCAAGGGTGTACTGCAGTGCACAGCAAGTCTACCCTGCTGGGGCAATGCCTGCTGATCCAAAGGCAGCCTCAGGGTCAAACCCCTGTTCTGTCCTGATCACACTCCTCTCCTCTGTGCACACAGACACTGGAGTTGATTTAGTTGTTGAAATAAAGTTACCTTTGTTCCCAGGGAACCGTCTTTTCAGTGCAATTCCACCTCCTGTGTGGTATTTACATGTTCTCTGAACAGAGAGATACTTAGCTTTCTCAGGATTTTTCCTGAGAGAAGCTGTAAGACAAGTAGAGAAAAGAGAATCAAAACAATTCTTATCTCATTTGCTGCTCTTATGTTTTGCACATGTAGAATGTGTTACAGAGATTGTTTACTCAAGGTGATTTCTTAATGAGATACTGGTGATGGTATTTTGGATAGATTAACCAATTAGATCAGAGCTGTGTCAGGACTCTCGGTAGAAAGTCATGGTTTTTCTAATTAGTTAGTAATAGTTCTTGTTAGTTAGTAATACAGTGTAATATAGTTTTAGTGTAATATAGTTTTAGTATAAAATAGTATAATAAAGTACTTAATTAGCTTTTTGATATCATAGAGTTCTGTACATCATTCTTCTCACATCAGGGTCATCTCTTAAAGTTGTGATCCCTGATGCGCAGACACAAACTGCATCTTGATGTGCTTGTTTGCCTGAGTATTGCATGGAATCACCACAGGATGTGCAAGAATACTTCTCCACTCCCTAATTAACAAATCATCTACAAACTGTACAAATTTGGACCTAATTTTAAACCCTTTCAATCAAACTTTAATACTGGGGCCTTCGGTGGGGAAATGGTAGAGGATCCTGGAATGCCTTGGGGAAGACATGTGTGAAGTACATTCTCTTGGCATCCAGGCCAATGGAGTCCTGTCTCACAGTGGGTGGCATTCTTCCCTCTGTGTTAATCAACCTGGGCTGTGCTGAGAGCAACCACCCCACATCTGTACTGGTCCCTGCCACCTTGTCTTAAGTCACAGGCTGTCTACTCACTAAAGGCACTGAGTGCTAGAGTGCCACTCAAGGCTACAGAAGTCCATTACCCTGCCCAGTGAGGAGACTGCTTAGAGTCACCCAATTGCCCTGGCAGAACTTTATTGCACTGTCATGGCAAAATTCTGCTGCCCATAACAATTTCTGTAAGTGTTGCACAACTTCAGCCACAGGCACCCTCTGATCTACAAAAGGGATCTTTCCCATCATGTCAAAAACCATGAGGGACATCAAACTCCTTTTTCATGCCAAAAAGGGACTTCCACCCCCTTCTGTGTGTGCCCAGGGACCCTAGCAACCATTGTGTGGCAGAAGGGACATAAGGCTCTCC